GATTCTCTACCAACCAAGAAGAGGCGTACAAACCACAAACGCACTTTGGTTCTGATAGTAAATGCCAGCTGGATTAGGCTAGGGTTATCGGGATCCTTGGACGTTTGGCCACCCACCCCGTCGACAAAAGCTGGGGTTACAAATCTTTCGAAAAATAGCCTGACAATATTGCACCCACGAGCAAACCACAGGCTCATTTATTTCTTTGTGCAGACTTTCGTACCGTAATTTATGCGACACAGTTCGGATTCAGGGGAGTGCGAAATACATTGGTACATACATAAACCATGCAAAGATTATATATATATATATATATACCACTGGCTTGTAGACAAGCATGGTGCCAACGCAACAACAATAATTACAATAACAATGAAAGGGGACAGGTGGATTGGAGTACAGAACAGGGTGAAAAGGGGGTGGAACAGTTAAACATGAGAAAATGGAAGATATCTGGAATAACAAAAAAAAATTTGTGTTTCACCGTACAAACATGATGATAATAGTCCTTTAAACTCCATTTATCTGGTGCATAAATTTTGATTCAATTTTCTAACGAGAATCAAACCCTATATTGTTCACTTGTGAAATTCACTTGATGAATACAATCAGTGCAAACTATAATTCAAACCCAGAGTTAGCACTATGCTCTTAGGTCAACAGTTATTGAACGTTATTGCTTGTTTGGATGCGAATATTTTGCAGCATTATGCACATACTGGAGAATTTTTACTACAGATATGATCTATGTAAGGATAAGGATTATTTTTCAGTTAAAATGACAGTATTATTGATGGGCTGTGCTAAAGATCAAGTGATTTAATTTTTTTCCTGGAAATAAATCAAAACGCAGAAAGAAAGTTACCATTTTATGATACAATGTGACCTAAATAGGAAAGTGAACTGCCACGATGGGAACAAGAAAGGGCACCGTAAAACATGCGATTACCCCCTAATTTAAAGCTGAAAACCAAATTCTGTAAGTTGTATGAGCTTTCTAGTAACGTTAGCCTAAGCATACCGTATTCAGTAAAAATGTTATATTCACTACAGTCTTACCCGGATCGATGCAATAAGCAGTGAGTTATTGAGTTACAAAGATTTTTAATGATGGACAAGTATTCCGGAGTTGAGTCTTGAAGAGCCTTAGCAACTGCGTTTAGTTGGTTCTTCTTGCAGGGATCCCATTGGAGATTTATTTCTGAAAATGGCTCATCTTTCCAACTTGTCAAACATTCATCACTCCAAAATGAATCTTCATCGGTTGCACCGTGTTCAAGTCGATCCCAGTCGTCTGATTTAAGGAGCATTGGAAATTTGATTAGAATAGACTCAGTACCCGTCTTCACTGAGCTGCCATCTTGTACTTGTATAAACTGATCACCCTGACCGACGACATCCGGTTGCGGATAGACGACCGACGACGGGGTCGGGGCTATCACTGAGGGCTGTTTAGATGACAAAATATTTTCTGTTGGTTGAATTCGATCTGGATGGATCTGCTTGCTAGCGATCGACTGGCCTAGACTTTTNCTTTTGGGACTGTTGAGCCACGTCGAGAGAGCGATTCTCACTTCACGGTTCGGTGAAGCATTGTTCCGTTTATTATTCCGACCAGCTGACTGAGTGTGCCGACGTCTGCACTGAATCACTTGATCTTCAAGCGATAACCAACGGTTACAGTTGAAATGATACCGCTTTTGTCGATCCAACTCGTCAACTGTGATATTTTTTACATACCAGTCGTACCGACCTATAAAACAAACGGCAAACCGTAACTCACTCGTTTATATATATTTCTGCCAAAGAAACTCGAATTGACCGTGACCCCCTACTTAAATTATCGGGACATCTGTATGTCCAATAAATTAAGAGGACAAATGTCGTTAAAATCATCTGCTGATAAAAAAGGTTTCATGAGATAGCAAGTTTCAATGAGTCACCAAATAGCTAATAAATTACCCATTCTATCACTTCACTTTGAACTGATAAAACTAAATTATTTCACACATGGTTATTTACAACTTAGTTTGTTACTCAAAACAATTAGCAAAGACATTTAGTCCCCTACAAAATGCTTACCGATTGGCAATGCATTCGTTCTTCTTATCCCCATAACTTACGTGGTCTAAGCGATACCCAGGCTTGTGGTAGTCGAAGTAGGCACCCAGCTCGCCCCCGTCTACCACTGAATTCTTTATTTTTTCTTTTAAGAACGACCTGGTGTATGATGTATCAGTCACACAATAGAACACCAAAAGCAAGCTTGTTTGCTAAATATTTTTGTAAACACATAACGAACAGATTGGTAGTCAACAGAGTGACAGACACTAAGCACAATATCAGATAAACAAAAACGATCCCCAGTATAACAATGTGTTTTACAAAGCGAAGAAGACTGATTTAATCAATCAAAATAGAATTAATTTTACCTCTATTTCAAAAAAATATGATCCAGAAATCTGTTCTGAAAGATTTCATTCTTAATTCATCACAATCGTATTTATTCGATCAAACGAGAGTCAAGGGAAGGTACGAATTCAGTCTATTCGTTAGTCACATATTAAGTTCGATTCAGTTGAGAAAGGCGGGGCTGATTTTGGACACCGACACTGGTTTGTGCGTGCATGCCTGTATACGTGCTCTACGAGATGTGTGTGCGAAGATTGCTCATGTTTGTGGTCCATTGAAGAATGAGGGAAATGACTAGTGGTTAAGAAACTCCGAGGAAGGAAGTTCTTTTGTGAACAGAGCTCAGGTTTCAAGGGAAAATATCAAACAGCCATATTTTCATGACTAACGAAGCCTAATTTTTCTTTCACTTATATTTGAAAGATATTACCAAAATACTACTATTACTATCTTGGTTAGCAATGAGCCGTTTACCATGTGATTGTAAAACTCATTGAGTAACACAATTCTAGTCCCCAGAAACTGTTACCGACGGCGCAGACATTACTCAAAAAAGCAACAGAGACACTACTGTGATTTGTAATGGCGATGCTAATTTTATACTCTGATTCCGGGGCAGATCAAGTTTAAAAAGAAAATGTTTTAATGAATTTCGCCAGAGATAATGCTGTATAATCCATCATTTTAGTTCCAACTGAAGCATAAATCATACCCGTTGAGGAGTGGTCGAAAATACTTACTTTGTTTCACCGCTGAAGTTACTGGTTTGATGTCCAAACCGATCAGTTTGCCCAAACGCGAACAGACAATTGCGAAATAATCCACTTGCGGACACCCCTCATGATCTGGCTGGCGTTTTGTCGTCACTTGTGGGACGTCGCCAAATGTATGTCTGTCTCTGTCTATCTGACTCGTGTTCGATAGTGGGTCACGTAGAATAACTGGTTGTCCAGCCACCTCGCCCAAACGAGCTAGTTCAGCGCTAACCAGTTTCAGACTGGGTGCATCACAAAGCGAACCATGCAGTACAATACTCATGGGTGGTGTGGGGTTTGTAATCGATGTGGAACTTGCCGAGTGTGAGTCGCGACTATTCCCTATTTGTCTCAAGCGCAAATGACGAACCGATTCCACACGTAAGCGATAGACAACGTCACCTTCTTTGTTGAATAACGGCTT